GCTCCAGCCTCTGTGTAGCACTGGTGGGAAAGACTTCATAAGAGCTAAAAATGTACTGAATGAATGAACTGCACCAAGCGGTCCTGCAGAGGGAAAATATTCCTGGCCCAAACACAGGGCAGGCCACCCACCACGTCTCCCCAGTCCTCGGCTGCTCACCGAGAAAGACTCTCTCCTCTCAGGCTCTGTGTCACCGTGAAGAGTTTGGATCCCCACCCTTTGGGAAGAGATGTGCCAGGATCAGACGCTAGCCAGACATGTTGACAAAGAACAACGCAAAATGGCCAACCGTTTCCTCCATTCTTTGGCTCGGGGCTCCCAAAGATTCCCGTGCGCCGGTGGAAGGACGTGCCACGCCACAGTTTCTGCGCAGCCAGCCGCGCAACGGCCTGTGGCACTCCCTCCCTCTGCTTGCTCTGCAAGTGGGAAGAGCACCTGAGCCAAAGCCCCCTGGGCACTGCGTGGGCCAAGACGGGGAGGGGCTGGGGCAGGGCGTGTGCTGCCCACGCATTGTGGCTGCCCAGGTTGAAGGAGGCCCTTCTGGCAGGAGCCAGGAAGGCCAATGCTGTCCCCACCTGATGTCTCTCACGGGAGGCTATCCAGCTCACTCCATCCCGGCAGATACCGGGTTAGCATCCCCATCGCTGGGTCATTTCAGCCTCAGGCACCAACAACATGCTTCCAAAATCATTGTTTCGCGTAAGGATGCGCTTCACACCAGCCCCTTTAGGTGCTGAAATGCAATAATAATAATAATAATAATAATAATAATAATAATAATAATAATAATAATAGGTCCCGTGATGAAGGCTCATGTCCGACAGCGGCTGTCTTGGATGTTCTCCTGCCTAGTGCTGCTTGTGTTTTCCAGCGGGAGTGGCAGCGTCAGACGTCTGAAGCAGCTGTGCTTAAGGGAAGGGGAGGCACGATCAAGTCTGATGAAGCAGAGTGAAGCCTGGCTATGCAGACCGGGAAGCATGGCCAGACTGGGCAGGGGTTGCTCGGACCCCGATCAGCTCTAGGCTACCTGGGACTCCCTCGGGAAGGGCTGTTGTTTTAGCAGTGCGCAGAGGCCACCTGAGGCTTTCGGAAGACTGGTTGAGCTGGGCCTGTCTCATAAAGGGACAGGGGCTGTTTCTGAACCCATGATCCTCCGCACGTGGATAGTGAGCATTGCATGGGGGGGTGGGGAGGAAGTGCTCACTCTCAAGAGCCTGGTGAAGCCACATCCTCTGTCCTGGGAGGTCCCAAAGTGGAAGGCGCTCTTGACAAGGTCTCCTGCGCCATGGAGATCTCCTCACTGCGGGATCGAGTCCCAAGAACCTGACCGTTACGTCCCGGCAGGCAGTTCAGCATTGGCAGGCATTGTCCGGCAACATTTAGCCTTTCTACTGAAATAGAAAGTAGAAGGTCCGAGGGCAGGGATATGCTGGGGACACTTTAAGTAAAGGAATCCTGTCTTCAGATCACGAACCAGCAGGCTTGCTGGATCCCAATCCAGCCCCGCCATGCCTCGCAGCGGAGGCACCAACGGGGTGGCGAGCGCTGAGGCCCAAGCCCTCTGGTCGGTGCCACACTGGGAGACACACGCACCATGCTCACTGCTGAGCAGAAGCCAGGGCACTGGGCTACGTGCTCCGAGTGGAAACGATCCCACAGCCCCAGGTCTGCTCCAGCCGTTCTGCCGGCGGAGCCGTCCTGTGAGCTGTGGGACGTTTTCCTGCCCAAAGGTGGCTTCTCAGACCCATCTGAGACAGGCCTCAATCCAGGCGGATGCAGCTGGGGGCCAGCTGCATCTTTGGCCTGCCAAGTCCCTGGCATGGGCCCCGTGCTTCGGCCTCACCCAGGCTGGCCATCACGCCAGCAGGCTTAGGGAGCGCCCAGTGGGCTGACCGCCGTGGCCCATGAGCCACGTGTGGCTCGGCGGCTCACGTGCTCTGCTGGCTTGCTCCAAGATGTTGCCTCAAAATGATAATCCAGGGTGACTTCAGGGAGCATGCCGACCCACAAAGCTCCAGCTGCACGTGAGTCAGCTGGCTCCATGGCCCAATCCAGAAGTGAGCCCTTTCTCTGCAGAGTGTCGCACCCCCAACCAATTAATTCCCCAAATGAGCTCGGGAAGACGGATTTGCTCCGGAAGGCATAGCTGCGCAGTGATGCAACATGCTTTTAAATGTCGCCGCCGTTTGGTTGCTGCAGCCGGCCCTCGGAGGCTCTCCCCATCTTCTGGAAGCATTACAACCAGCCCAGTGCACAATCCCGCTCTTCTGGAGAGCCCACACATAATCCTGGAGACCCGGCAGTCACTTACTCTTCCCAGCGACCAGCTGAAGGATCCAGCTGAAGCCTGGCAAAGGTCAGGCTTCAAATCGAAATCTGTCAGGAAGGATCTCGTCCACCTCTTTAAAAAGGGTACTTAAAACATTTTGAAGGAAGAAAGGGCAGAGGGCGAGGTTTCCCTGGGGGCACGGAGAGGGCTGTATTTGAGAAGCAGCCAACTTTACAAAGATACAGCACCTGCCTTTGGCAACAGAGGGGTTCCCTCCAGCGTGCGCAAGGCTGGGAATAGCCCTGCTGATGCTCTGCCTTAGGTCCCCCATCCTTGTGGGGCTGGCGGGGAGCAGAGCCCCCACTGACACTGTCTTCAGGGGAGGACAGCTGCACGGTTTCTCTGCGGGGGGCAGCCCCGGGAGTCTTTAGGGTTCCCCAGCAACAAAAGTCTGCATGCCGTCCTAAGCGCCGCACCTCCGCCACTGTCCCCAGGGGGGGCTTCCCTCATCAGCTGCTTGGAGGAGCAGCGTCAAGAACGCTCCCTACGGATCACGCACCCAGGATGGCCCCGGAAACGTTCGCCGAGGAGGGCCCCCGGCCATCACTGCCTCAGGCTCGCGAGAGCAGCCTCGAAGGACGGGCCGGGAAGATGTCAGGAAGACCGTGCCGGAAGCATGCCCACGGGGGCCGAGCTCGTCTAATCTACGCACAGGGAGCAGTCCTTTAATTCGCTCTTCCTCCCGTGCCCTGCCCCAGCACACCATCTTCACAACCACCCTGTGAGGTGGGCTACGCAGACCGAAGGGGCCCGGCTTGATGCCAGTAACTGAGCTCCATGTTGGAGCACGGACGGGCATGTGGGCCCCTCCGGCCCCCGTCGAAGGCTTTACGTGCCAGACCACACCGGGGCCACGGTTCGGCCGGGCCTCCTTCTGCCTTCCCCACCTACCAGCCCTCGGAGGGCAGCTGTCCCCACCAGTGGCTTCCCAGTCCACCCAAACGCACGCTGTGGTGGGGGGGCCAGGCTGGCTGCCTCCCTCGCTCTGAACTGAGGCAGGGGGTGGCCACGGGGAGGAGGGGGCTCAGCCAGGCTGACCACAGGAGGAATGGCCGCCTTCCATCTTCCTTCGCAACCAGACAGCTGCTTTCAAAAACGTGCCATCGCGGTCTTTAGAAAGTGCCTTCTGCTGAATGTGCTCCTCTTCTGGGGAGCGTGTACCACGCTTCACTATATAAAAATAGTGCTAGCGCGCACATTGCCCTGGGGGTTCATGCCAAAGAGCAACACACACATTCACCAGATAAATACATGAATAAATAACATTTCCTGACCCTCTTTATCTTCAAGGGCTTCTTGCTGGAAAAGCATCCAAGCCTTTTAAATAATGTAGTGGCAGAGCCGGGAGCGAAACCGCCCGCCCGCCAGGCCTCGATTCTGCCTGGGAACGCCTTCTCCACCCCGGGAACAAGACTCCGGGCACTCCGATCCACCCCCCGCCGTCTGCTCTGACCCCCCCCACCCCTCCTCCAGTGAGAAGGGGTACGTTGAGGGTCACTAGTATGGGAGGGGCTGGGGGGCACACGGCAAACAGCCACAGCCAACATCCCCCCCCCCCGCCACCCCAGAATCAGACATGCCACATTCCTGTGGGAAGGGTGAACAGGGAGGTGGAAGTGTGCGGACTGAGGGAGCGCTGGGTCTTTCCAAGGATGCCTCCCGGCTGAAGGCTGACACCGAGCAGATTCCTGAAGTCCGTGCTCTGCGGAAAAGTCACAGGCCCCTTTGGATTTCTGCCTGCCACACTGGCTCTTTGCTTCTCGGCTCCAGCCTGCCGGGGTAGGAGCCACATCCAGATGTAAACTGGGCAGCTGCACACCGGCTCCTTGCTCCAGGTTCTGGGAATGGCGCCGGAAGCGGCTCCCCGAAGGGAAATGCACTACGGGTCCCACATCAGGTGCCACGACGGTGACAGCCGGGGTTGGCTCTGCAGCGCGCGTCTCTTTCTGCTCAGAACCGGATCCTCGTTCCGACAAGGATGATGGGTGCCAGGCAGGTGGGCAGCTCCATCACAGTGTTGCTCGCGGTCCCTCGAAGAGCCAGGTTTGGGAACTGCTCCGGCAAACAGGCGTGGACACAGCCTGCCTGGAAAAGCACCCCCTCCTTTCTCATCTGCCCAACCTGCAGCTGTCCGTCAGGTCCTGGCCGCTCTCCTTTCCAGGTGTGCGTACGAAGGGCTCCAAAGTCCATGTGCACCAAGCACTCAAGCCGACCCTTTGACGCCTGGCCACGGTCTTGCACCCCCCGACTGCAGTCTGCCTTTGGGAAGATGCTGCCTTACGGAACAGAATGCAGACGCGCGCTTTTGCCTTTTTAAAACAAGCAAGCGGGCATGAAGGCGGCTTAAGCCACTGGGCTCTCAGAATACTCTAGTTTCCCACCCCACCTTGAGAAGGGTTCAACGACAGATCATTTCCGAGGCCAGCAAGGCACACTTTTAACCAGGGCACCCACGGACGGGGCAGCAGCCTGTCCGCATGGCACGCAAGGCAGAGCACGCACCGGGGTGCTGGGTCGGCGAACGATACGGCGTAGGCCTCTCCGACAGGCCCACCTGCCCACTGGGGAGCCCTGCAGAGTGCCTCGCAAGCTGGCCCCACAGCATGCGTGCCGACCCACGCCCCTCTCGATCAGCAAGGAATGGACAAGAGGACGGCGATGCAGATGGCCTCTTTTTATCTGGGCGTTCAAATCTCCCCTTTAATCAGAAGAACAATAAATCACAGAATCTGGCAGGGGGGTGTTTCTGCAGGCGCGAAGGCCCGTCACACAGAAGGCATCGCCCGACTGGGATTCTTTGGCGTATTTGGCCCAGACATCAATTCCCACACCATCCATTATAGTTGCTGTGCGTTGCCCATTTTATGGTTTATCACCTATTGCTTAATTAAATATGATTTTTCTTTGTTTTGTATGTCTTTTAATTTTTGGAAACTGCCCAGAGAGCCCAATCCCATCTGAGAACCCCAAGCCCAGGGTGGGCATCCTTTCTCGGCTCGTGGCCACATCGGACAGCCTGAGGAACTGTGCCGGGTGGCACCACGGAACGGCAGCCCAGAGGAGGGGCGGCAGGGGACCCCGTCCCAGCTCACAGAAGAGCTCCCCTGAACCCCGTTTTCAGCACCCGATGCCAGAGAGGCAAACGCCAGTTCTTGCCTGCCTCCATCCCCTCTCCTGCTTTTTCCTCTCTCGCTCTGGGTCCTGACCCACTGACACGGCACCCCACTGAGACAGGCTGGACTGGCCACGGTGAGCAGCGACGAGCGTGTCCTCCTGCGGATCACGCCCTTCTCGGACTGAGGAGCTGCCCTTTTGCCAGTCACCGGCCAGTGGCCGAGAGGCTCTTCCGCAGAGCCACCAGCCGGAGGCCCCCGGCCACCTCCGCGTGCGGGGTGGAAGCCCCTAAAGCTGGAACACACGCCAGGGGACCACACAAGCGGGAGGACCGTTTTATTCCTAGAGGCTCTTGTCGTGCCGCTCGCCAGAAGACCGCCGGCCTCACTTGCACGCTTTCCGTCCACTTTAGACCGCCTGCTTGGGAGCGAAAGAAAGGCACCTGGAATGGCGGGACACGTGCCCCCCTCAGCGAGACCGGCCCGGGGGTCCCGCGCGGCCGCACAGGCAGGGCGTGCTCACAGCTCGGCCGACGAACACTCCCGAGCTCGGTCCCTGCGTTAGGGCCCCTCTTCTTTGTCCCTGATGCACGGCAGCAGCTCGTGGGTGAGGACGTGGCGCTTGTCCTGCCACTGGAAATGGGTGGGCGGCTGGGTGGGCCCCCGCTCGTACGCGAAGCAGGGGCTGAGCTCAAAGGCCAGGGCCGATTTCACCAGCCCCACCCCGCCGGCCTTCTCAGGGCCCGGGTGGTAGACGCGCCCGTTCTCGGGCAGCATCGCCAGCTTCTCCGGCTGGAAGGGCACGGCCAGCCCCTCCGCCCCGCCGCAGTAGGACAGCAGCTGCTCCCCATGCGAGCCCTGCAGCAGCTGGGTGAAGACGATGGGCCGGTCGTCGCAGCGGACGTAGTTGTGCTCCCGGCCGCAGGGCGACAGGTAGGGGAAGGCGTCCTCGTAGCGGCCGCTGCGGTTCAGCCTCAGTTGCTTGAAGAAGAAGACGAGGAACTGCTTATCTGGAGGAGGGGAGGCAGGGCACAGTTCAGCAATGCAGCGCTCTCCGTCGGAGGCAGGTGGGGGTGGCGGGGGGGCAGGAGAAGCGGTGGGGGGCACTGGGGTCTGCTCAGAAGGGACCCCATTCTGAGGGCCGAGGGCTCGAGAGAGAGGCACACGGACCACTCGCCTCGCTTGCCGACGGTGCCTATGGATCGTGCCTACAAGGCCCCCCTCGGCTCTCCCTCTTCACCACACTAGACCCCCGGGACCCCCTCAACCCCAGACCTCTCCGACCGCACCACCTGTTTGCAAGGCACTCCATGTGGAGGCAAACGGCAGGGCAGCCCTGCACCCCTTTCCTCGACTAGGGTGGGGGGAAGCCCAGCCCGCAAGGAAGACCCGCGGGCAGCGCACGAAGGTGCCCGTTCCGCTGCGGCTGCCCTTGTGGTGCAGCCACTCTTGGGCATGGCAGCCCAGAGGGCAAAGCCCCTGCGAGTGGCCACACTGCAGAGTCCTGATGGAGGACGGGGTGCGTTCTCCTCCGGCACCCGTGTGCAGAGAGCTCCGGCTATGGGATGGCAGAGAAATGAAATAAATCGCCGTCGTCGCACTTGTGCACGTGTGAAGCGGCCCCTGTGCAGCAGGTCCTGATGGAGAAGGCAAGGGGAGCCAGCCAGCCAGCCAAGCGCCGCGTCCTGAGCACGGAAGGGAGTCTCCCCGCTGTACGTTTCCCTTTTCTCTGGCATTCAGTTGGGATGCTCTTCTTCTCTTTGGCACCAGCCCCCAAACAGCACCCCCCGCGCCCCCCCACCCGGCGGGAAATTTACAAGCATGAGGCACGGCATCTGCAGCCAGAGAAGCCGTGCAGTCAAGATATTAATAGCCCGGCTGCAGCCACGTAATTGGAGAAAGGGAATTAAGATGCAAAAGGCGCCGTGTTTGCTTTTGCTGGGAGCAGTTCTGGAGCGGCAAACAAGGCGCGGAGGCAGGCAAGGCGGAGGGGAAGGGATGCTGCCAGCCGAAGGCTGGTCCGGAGCGCCTGACGTGCGTGGCAGGGAAAGACCCGCTGGGTTTGGCAGGCGGGTGCCGCACATGGCGAGCGAGGGTCCTCCCCACGGATGCTCGGGGCGGCTGGTGGCCGAGGCAGTTGCGTGCTAGCCGAACGCGTGGCCAGGCACAGCCATTCCTGCTCTAGTAAGAAAAGGAGGGTGGCGAGACTGTAAACAGGGCAGGGGGTGGAGGAAGACCCTGCGGCACGATTCGCCATGGCACGCGCCGCGCCTCCACCCTGCAGCTGACCCCCGCCCGAGGCTGATCCGAAGCGTGGCTGCACGTCCGCACGCGGGGGCTTGTGTCCTCTCGTCCACCCGCCCGAGGCGAGTGAGGCTCTGGACTGCTTAGAGACACTGTGGCGGCACTTTGGGAAACAGACGTGAAGCATGGTGGCCCATCCAAAGCCCCTAGGAGGGCGCTGAAGGCTGAGCGCGTTGCGCAAGGGGAACCACACCAGCAGCTGCGTGTCTGCACATCCCCGAGGGATTCACTAAAGGGCCAAAGGCATCACATTCTCACACATCGTTCCTTTCCTTCCAAATTTTGCAGTATCTGATACCCCAGAAGAAGTAAAGGCACTTCCAAAAATCTTAGGCTGAGCCTCCAACTTCATCGAGCCAAAGGAAAAAGCAGATGCCATGTAGAACTTCGCACTCCCCAAAGCCAACGGGCCTTCCCTCCCCTGCCTCTAAACTGGCAGCACTTTTTAAATGCTGCTTCTTTAGGGCAAAATGTGTTCAGGAGATGCTTTTTAACACGTCGACAGTGATAACTGAACATGGCGTCCCTCAAACGTTTGTTCAGGTAGGTCCAAGAGCGCCTGTTTAGACAGGCAAAGGCCTAAAGCACCCCTGCCTGAGGCCTGCTGGGAGCTGCAGCCATCTCCCCTGGCACCTTCAGGGGCTTGGGCCCCATGACAGCTGCAATAAACAATGGAGGAAGGGAGGGCAGCAGTGCCACATGGGGCGGGACACACAGAAGAGCACGGGCTGCGGACTAAGGGGCTCCACACAGCTCGAAGTAGGACCACGTGCGAGGAAGGGGGGTTGATGAGCCCAAACCCCTCTGCCTGCTGAGGGGTCAGACGCCACTGGGCCTGAAGCATCTACAAGGCCTCCTTAGCCAGCCACAGCCACGAGCTGGCTGCAGCGTGTGACCCCGGACGGACGAAAGGCTCACAAAAGCCTGTGGCTGGGAGCAGTGCAAGAAGAGGCGGAGGAAAAGCTGGCGCTCCAGGGGAAGCAGACAGCGCTCCTCTCCGGTCTTTCCCGTTGCAGCCCCAAGAGTCCACCGAGCTCCACCCCGAGCCCGGCCGTGATGCAGCCACCGGGACGCCGTCTTTGCCGAGGGGCTTCTGCACTGGGGGCTTGACAGGGTAGTGCTGCGCCTGGCAGGGAGCCTGGCGGGATTTTAATACCCTGATTAAAGATTATGCCGACGGTTCTTAATGCGGGAACACCGGAGGGATGAGTGCAGTTCCGGAGGAAGATAAAAGTGTCAAAGCGGGGATTTTCAGGATCATGCGATAGCTTAGCAGGCATCCTCAAATTTGCGCCAGGCAATCTCACTTACACAACAGGGATGCTGAGAAGGACCCCATCTGCTCCGAAGCGCCTGCCAAACCTTGCATAACCTGTGAGGGAAACTTTTTCCCAGAAGCAAAAGTCCCAGGGCCAACAGGCCACTTGAGTCACCCAAGCCCCTGCTATTTGGGCATGTTCTGAAGGGTAGAGCGAGGGCAACCTCAGGCCAACTCAAAGTGCCCAACGCCGGCAGCAGGAAATCAAGCGGCGCTCCCAGCTAGGGCGACGCGTGCTCCTCGGGGAAGCATTCCCGTGCCGGCCTCGCTGACTGTACAGGAAGAGTGCGCAGAGGCATGTCAGAACGGGCGGCTCTGCAGTCTCCCGGGCATCCAGGGGAGGGATGGCCCGGAGGCTGGAAGGGCAGGGGGGGAACCACCAGCCGGCTGGATTCTGCCCACCTGCTGCCGAGGGGCGTTCCGGCACTCGAGCAGAGCCAGCCCGGCGTGCCGAGGGCAGCTTGCACGACACCACGCGGCATGCCTGCTCCCGCGATGCTGTCCCTCCCCGAGATGCTGCCCGCCCTTCAGCAGAGGCTGCCTGGGGGCTTGTGGTCTGGAAGCAGGAAGGAGACGTTACCTTTGAAGCACGTGATGAAGTTCTTGACTTTGGCATCGTCCAAGAAAAGCTGGAGACGCGGGGAGACAGAAAAGCAGAGTGAGCAGGCAGGACCTCTTTCCAGAACCTATCAAGGGGGCTGGGAGGGGGCTGCCACACGGCTAACGCAGAGGCTGACACAGGTTCCAAGAGTGCCACTGCCCAACTGCAGCCAAGGCACCCATTGACGCCATGGGGCTGCATGCGCTGGGCAGAGGGAGGGAATTCTCTGCTCTCCTCAGCAGCATCCTACAAGTCGGGCCTTCGCCAACCTGGGGGCCTGCCAGGAGCTTGCCCAGGAAACATCGCCCGTCTTGCTCCTAGTGGGGAGCTCCCCCAAGGGCCCCTGCTGGAGCTCCTGTTTCCTTAGTACTGGGGAGGGTGGGATGATGACTGACAGGCCCTCAGCTGTTGACTGACAGGCCCTCAGCTGTACGTGGGGCTTGACAAGCAGTCCTTGGCTTCCACGATCAGGGAACGCCCTCTGTTCGGCAGTGGATTTCCAAAACAAGCCAGGCTGTGGGAGGCTGCGAATGGAGAGAGGGCCTTTGCAGAGGCCTGCCCCCAGGAGTTGGAATTCCCTGCCTTGGCAGGCCAGGAGGGCTCCCTCGCCACTGTCTTTCTGCCAGCAGGCCCAGCCTCCCCATCCCCAGCCAGCCCTTGGCATGGGAGCTGGTCTGGTGGGTTCGCTGCTGTTTCTGCTCTTGTAGTACTGTGCTTTCGAACTCTGCTTTTAAAATGCATTTGTTTTACGACTGCTTTAAATGAGGTTCCCCTTCTGGAGCACCCTTTCCTTGGTGGAACATCAGGGTAGGAAGCAGATAAGAAGCAAAGAAATGTGTGGGACCACGATTTTTGTACACTGAGGATGCCACGTGCCTCCTGGCTTCGGTGGCACAGGTTGCCCAAACAGTCTGGCCAATTCAAGCTGCCCCAAAGGGCCCGCTAGCCTGGCCCTGGTCCATAGATGTGAGGCAGAAGGGAACGGTGAGCTAGGCTGGGGAAAGAATAGCATGCGTTGGGGCAGTTTGGGGGTTCTGGAAGCCTTGCTTATCGGGGGCAGGAAGATTCCAAAAGGGTGGCCACTTCTGGTTTGACAAATACCCAACTGAAGCTGCCTGCCTGCAACAGAGACTTTCTGCATTCTTCAAAACTGTTAATTTCCAGAGCACCAGGCCAGCCACAAACTCTTCTTTTAACACTAATTACAACGCCTAATCTCTCCCATAATGATTAATTCAGCACTAATTCGATACACCATTAATGCAGTGGAGGCGAGTGTGAGAACCGGCAGTTAACACTAATGGATTAAAAAGAGGCTCAGAGCGCCCCAAGGCTTGGAACGGGGCCAGCCACACTTCCCAGTGCTCCTTGGATCCGCCACTTAGCCGGTGTCAGAGCGATCCTGGAGGGAGCTGTTAACGGTTCGCTCCAGAGCCATTTTGCCAAGTGATCCCATGGCTAGGATGGGCTCTCCCACTGGAAAGAGGTTTGGCTTCCTTTCATACCTGGGAGGTATAACATGAAGGAAGCAGAAATGAGCGCTAGTCTTTAAAGAAGAACACACCATCTGTACAGTTACACCGATTGTTTGTAAGGACAGGTGAAATCTGGCACAGCTTGTGTGAGATGCTCGCCGCCTGCAGAGGTGCCTCTGTGGAGCCTGGGGCTGGGTAACCACTGTGTCCACCCAGGGAGTCCCACAGGTACTTCTCTCTCAGCAGGTACCGAAGAAGAGAGCCTTCCAAGAGGGGGACAGGAGACGGAGCCCTCAGGTGTGGGGCACAAACCCAGCCACACGCTGGCACGTGCCCTTGCTGGAATGCCCTTGGCCAGCTGCTGCTCTTCTGAGTGGGGCCACATGAGGGAACCAGCCTGGGAGAGTGCTCTAAATTAGCTGGGGCAAGAGGGGCCAGGGCATCGAACTAGGGACAGAGGAGCATGACTCATGCTGAGATGAACCATGGGCCCATGATCTGTCCTGACCAGCAGAAGCACGCCAAGGCTAAGGGGCCTTTTCCAGCCACACCACTGCTGAGAAGCCAGTGCTGGAATCCTGGGCCTCCTGGGAGATTCCTGACCAACAGCACAAGCCCTTCCTTTCCAGGAGCATGGCAGAACCATGTGCTGCCCCCGCTGGCCCTCACCAGCCACCAGCATGCAGGGGAACGCAGGCTTCTGCACACTGGAGCAACTCCTTGGCCGTGAAGCGCAGATGCCCAAGCACCTGCTGAAGCAGCCTCTTGGCCTCTGAGCACGAATGCGCAGCCATGAGATGTTGCGGATGCAACCCAGCTCTCTTTGACAAGAGCAGGAGTGGCACTCTGAGCGGCCAGGAGTGACGACGGCCAAACAGGCAGCTCACACCCCTGTTTTGCTTCAGGGTGTGGCTCTTCAGCCACTGCAGTGAAGTATTGTGGGAACCTTGGAGGTGGCTCTATTAAACTTCTGAAATGAGTGAACTAACCCTGAGGGGCATTGCGGGGAGGGGCCGTGAGTTCGGAGCTCCAAGAAACCATCTTTCAAACATCAACACACACTCCTGTCTCTGCATTCACAGGACAGGCACCCTGAGGTAGAGATAATTAACTTTGTTTTAGTTATGTTTGAGTCATGGGACAATGAATGACGATGATGATTAATTACATTTGTATCCCACTTTTTGGCAAGGAAATGATTGATTACATTTATATCCCCCTTTACAGCCAAGTGGGGCCTAGAACCTGGATCATCTGGATCCCCCGTCCAACAGTCTCATCCACACTGGCTGGCTCTCCATTGAGAGGCCCTGTGTACTTTACTGACTTAATTTGCAGCACAAACCGCAGTTATATCCTGGAGCTGCCGTGCATCCAAGGAAGCAAGCGCTTGCATGCAGAGGGATGTACTGAAATCTGTCAGTCTGTCTCTACAGTGCTGCCAGACTCTTGTTTTCTTTGCTGCAACAGACTAGCATCCTCCGGGGTTGTGCAAGCTCCGAAATAAATACACGCTCTAAGCCACATTTGTGAAGGATGCCTCTCTGTCCTAAACAACCTAACTGGACTTGACAGGCTTCATCTTCCTGTCACTCAGCTATGCCATCGACCTTGCTCAATGACACATCAGCTGTGCCTGTGGATGGCATGCTGGCTGGCACCAACCCTCCCATGTCCAAGGCAATCTCTTACTTGGAAAACGGCTCATCGCTCTGACTATTGGAGCCACACATTCACAGCTAAAGCGATGGCAAGGCAATACATTATGTTTACTGCTGGTTTTCTGCTCTACCTAGAAACAAGATGAGAGAGCTGCCCTTTTAAAATTAAAATAGCAGGAACCAGGCGGATAAGACCCATCAAAGGGAAAAACCAGAGGGATAATAATGTGTAGTAGAGCAGCCAGTTTAATAGCTAGCATCTGCTCCCTTAGGTATAGGAGGCAATCCAGAATTTAATCCTCTCTTGTATAAGACAGCCCTAGAGGACAATTTCATTTGTGATTTAATGTTACATTCAGAAAAAGGGAGGACAGACTGCAAGCTTGTGTGATCTATTTTGTATTTTATTAGGCTCCTGATATCCACCAACTGGGAAGGCAGTGCAAAAGGTACAGAACAGGGTGCCTTGGAACAGTTGCTGAGCACAAGAGTTTGCTCTGAATAGCAGCTCTAAACTGGGCTTGCTACCATCCCACAAAACAACCCCAAAACAAAACAAGCCCCCACATGTTTGGTTATCCCAAGCTTTCTTTATTTTATCAATCTAATTTAGGGATGAGAGTGCTCCTTGGAGTAATTTTGTTGGAGAGAGTAACCCAATACTATGGAAGAGCAGGGAAAATCTCTCCACATTCTTCACTGTATGCATTTTTAAAAAACAAACCTCTATCCACTCTTCCCATAACTACTTGTCTTCTAAACTAAAGTGTCTAAACATGTTATCATTTCTTTGTATGGAACGTGTTTCATCTCCAATTCTATGGAATAATCTTAGCTGTGATCTTTTGAATGTTTCCCAGCTGTATCCTTTTGGAGACAGAATGACCAGAATGGTTCAAACAATCCAAATGCACTTTAGGGTTGAAATATTTCACTCCAGGGTGAAATATTTGCAAAAAGATGCTGTCATGGTTTTGTCTCTTTCCCTAACATGGGCTCTACTGTTTCCACAGCTGCCACACTCTGGTCCGACCTTTTGAATTGAGCTGTCTAGCACGACCCCTAGATTGCTTTGCCAGCCATTCTTTCCCGTTGCGGTTCCATCAGCGAAATGACACCTTTGGGACTATGCTTCGTTTTGCGCTCAGGTGCGTCCACCTGCCCTTATGAACACTAAAACCCGTTCCCTGTTTTACTGTCCGACCCTCCAGTTTGAGGAACCTTCGGGAGCTCTCCGCGGTACCCCCAGGCTTCCCCCGTCCTGAATGACTCCAGAAGAGCACGGAGGCGCGGGCTACACGGCACCAAGCCCAGTACGGAGCCTCGGGGCACCCCTTTCGCACCTGCCCGCCCTGCGAAGGCTTTACACCCAGACGAAGCAGCTCCCGGCCCGGCCCGTTGGGCTGGCAGGCCCCGCGCGGGTCTCCCGAGGTGGCCCCGCAGCCGCTCCTTCCTCTCGCCTACCTGGCCCTGGTGGTCGACGTAGTAGAAGTACTCGCGGGTGCGGGGCGAGGGGCTCTGGCCCTGCTGGTAGAGGGGCCGGCCGGGCCCGCGGCGGGTCCCCGGCTGCGGGAGGAGGCGCACCCCGGCCCTCAGCAGCCGCATCCCGGCCTTGGTCGCGACGGTCGCAGCGGGTAGAACAGGCTAGGAATGCGGCCTTTCCCAACCGGAAAAGCCCTGGGGGACCGGTGCATTGCCGCGCCGCCCCCCGGGCTCCAGAGACGCGCAGAAAGGTTCCGGGCGGGCACCGCCCCGGGCAAAGGGCTCCGTAGGCGAGCAGGAAGCGTCCCGCGGCTGGAGGGAGCCGAGCCCCCGCGTCCGCCGCCCGCCGCCCCAAAGAAGCCCGCACACATTGTTATTTTTTAAAATAAGTATTCCTTCCGGGCCGTGTATGCTTAGCATCTGATCATCTGAATCTGGCTGCCACTGCCTCTTTTCTTTTGTAAACTGCCCTGATATCTTTAACATGAGGGACTCAATTAAACAATGAAGCAGATGAAGTTATTCCCGGTATGAAGAATGGAAGTGGTGTGTGGTGTTCTGTGCCCCACATGGCTTTTTAAGGCAGAGAGATCAAATCTGGAACAGTTGAAAAAGAAGAAAGAGTCCAGAGATGTTCAGAAGAGGGTTGGGACCCACTGACTTCCTTGGCCCCTTCCGACTCTACTATTCTTTGATAAGATTTGTGGTCCAACCCACTGCATGTTTATTCAGAAGTAAGCCTTCTTGAGTTCAGGCTTGCAGCATCTTCTTAAGTGCAGAAGCTGCACTGGTTGAATTTCTGCACATCTTAAAATCACAGGAGTCTTACTGGACATAATGCACTTAAACCAGTGGAGCTTAGTTTCTTGAACAGCTTGCTCAGTTTATACACTAACCTTAGCAACAAATCAGCTTGCACAGATGTTTCTTCTCCCAGGCTTTTCTCCCAAGAAAAGAAAGCTGGTGACAGAATCTCAGTTTTCAATTTGCAAGGAATTATCACCCAGATTCATGGGGAAGATCAAACGTTTGAACCTCTGTGGCTTTATTGATTGATGCCCCAGTACCTGAAGTAATTAATGATAATGCATTACTGGGTAGAGGCAAATTCACCTACAAAATCACAGCCCATGTACAGACACTTTTATAACCTGCTAGTCGCATACACCAATGCAGAGTGCTAAGTTTCCAGATAATGTTGGTACAATAGCATCCTGATGTCTTTAGGCATGACGTAAGGTTCTGAGCCGAGCAGAGATACTGGTAAGAATAGTATGGAAAACATCCATGATTGCTGTATTGACACTTCAACTCACCTTTTGTGGCTCCGCTTGGCTGCTTTCCTCATTCCTTCATTTCCCTGCCAGCAAGAGCATCTTTGGCTGCTGCATGTGGGCATCCAAGAAGGATGCTGAAGGAATTGCAGAGGCAGATGGCGCAACACCTCCACCTGGTGGCCTGTTGCTTTTGAGAGCTGCTCTCAGCTTGGTGAAGGTGCCAGACATGGCAAACCTCCAGTGCAGCGATGGGCAGAACGACCTCCACCCCACCCCATGCACAGCGGCAACATGAGTGAACAGAAGGTGCTGAGGACAGGAGTTGGCAGAAAGGGGCCCTCCCCGTGTGGTGCGTGGTCTGAAGTGCCGAGACCAAGGAGGAGGGGGAGAGGTGGACAAAGTGGTCATGGGGTGGGAAGCTGGATGGGAGGCATTTTCTCCCCCTATAACCCTAGAGCCCAAGGAGGTTATCTACTTGTTGGGAGATTCAGGACCCACAAAGGAAGAGCCAGTGTGGGACAGAGGCTAAGAACATGGGACTGGGACTCAGGCGATCTGGGCACTAGTCCCTGCTCAGCCACGGAGCCAGCTGGGTGACTTGGGACCAGTTGCAGACTCTCAGCCCAGCCTACCTCACAGGGTGGTTGTTGTGAGGGTTTGATTGAGAGCGGGAAGAAGTTGTCTTGGTTCCTGGCAAACATCGCTTTCCCTTTCCTGCCTATTAGTGATGACTGTTTCTACTGCTGCAAGAATCATATGTCACTTTTCTTTCTCAATGCTTTCTTATTCTGCTGTTTACCGTACAGCTGATGAGCAGATTCCATTTTATATGCTTTTGTGACACTTGAAATTGAAGAAAAGACTGAATGCTGTTTGCAATTCCAACATTTTGCTATTGGAAATGGACTTTAAAAATTGGATAACAACATGTTGGGGATTACATGAGTGGAGCTGGCTGGAGTCGGGGGGGGGGGGCAGGGGTCAGACCAGATGGCCTGGGAGCTTCTTCTGACCCACTCTCTTTCTACGGCTCTCTGTTTGTCAAAGGCCCTTTTGGTTTGTGCAGCCTGAGCACTATTATATTATTTCTTCCATTTTACTTCTAGGCAGCCTTACTCCAGCTCTCTTGTTGCCTCTCATCTGTGCATCCCTGAACACAAATTTTCCAGTCAATCTATGGACAGAGGGGCCCGGTCAGACAATCCAACATGTAACTATAACACCACTCAATGAGTGTGGGAACTGGATGGAAAAACAAACTGCTGCGGAAACGGATCTCAGCAGGCACTGATGTCTCTTTGCCCTGACCCTTGTCATCTTGACTTTGCTGTTAACCCACTGGATTTACACCCAGGTAGGTATGCGCATGATTGCAGCCACTGAACCACCCAGTTCTGTGCAGGGTATGCCATGTGCCAAACTAGACAGTGTCAGGGGCAGGGGTGTGAAGCGCTGGGAATCCGCAACAGGCAAAGCCATAGGATCTTGCTGGGAGTGGTGAACTCTGGGGAGGGGTTAAGCTCCGTTTGGAAATGCCAGCCCACCCTGGCGCATCCCCTGCTGCTCCTTTCTCAGAGAAGGTTCTGCAAGGCCAGGGATCAGTGCCAACAAAAGGTATAGTGTGTTGCCGGTTTATGAGGTGTGGCAGGGATTTCAAACACATGAATTAGACCAGTGTGTAAAGCATGGTATTTGGAAAGGTTGGGGTAAGACACGCAATCCAGGAAGTTTTGGTCAAAGAAAACAACGCTTTACATGTGTGTTTGCATATTGTAGTTTACACATGTGCCAAAGTGCATCTTTGCGCCCTGAAGGAATCTTTTTGTAAAAGGGATTGTCAGGGATTTAAATCTCAATCAGCCAGGTTCCCTTGTCTAACCCCAGAGATAAAAAACCTACTAGCAAGGTGTACCAGAAAAGCTCTTTATTGAGGCTTCCACACAGCAACTGCTCTTCCAGAAGAGATCAGCGCTCCTGCTAACAAGTCAAATGCTATTGTGCTTTTCACAGCAAACCCTTTAATCATTGGTCAACTTGATCTTTCCCTATCGACAGCTTGATCATTTCTTTTATCCACTGTTAATCCATAAAGGTAGGACTTGCTAATTTGCCACATTCCACACCTATCTTAACAATGGACAGACAAGCAGACAGGCACCTGCCAGCCAACCAAATACAAATCGTGAATGTCTATCACTGATAGGCAAGGGTTACAACTTGCGGAATCTCAGCTCTGCTGCAGATTGGAACTGATTAACACCGCTCTTCAGGTCGAAGGGTGAAGCCTTGGCAAGGTTACTAAGATTTCAAGCACAAATTTTATATCAGTTATGTATGCACAGTGGAAAGGAGGTTTTGGTTAATTAAAAAAAAATCAGACCAAGTCTGGGGAGGAGCATGAGATGCAAGAGAGGTCATCAGGGCGCCTGCATTTGTACTACCGCAAGTGCCTCTGGGCAGCAAAGCGGTGGGGCTGATGGCCTCCCAAAGACACGGGGCTCCAACTTAGGGGGCCGCCCCTTACAGCCCATGCATCCCCCTGCCCTGTGGAAAACCCTTTTTCCTCTTCCTTCCGCATTCCCTTTTCCTTGTGTGCTGTTCTTTCACGGGGCCGTCTCCTTTCCGCGGTTTCCAGTAGGCCGCCCCGGGAACCCTTTGTTAGCGGAGAAGCCCACGAAAATTAACTTGGGAGGCAGCCTGGGACAAGCACACGGACAGCCTCCCCGGACCGCATGTCCCATCATGCTGTGAGGGGATGATGGGAACTGCACTCCAGCCCACCCACAGGGCCCCCGGTTGGGAGCCGCCGGTGCCAAGGGAGCCGTCTAGCGAGCGCCCCGCCCACGCAGCGGCGGCAGGAAGTGACGTCACATTACCCGGAAGTCCTCTCTAGGGCGGCGGCGGCGCTCGCTCGTTCCTGCCAACGGCGAGCGGCTTCCGCTTCCTCCCGCGGCGTCTTCCGGGTTGGCGCGGCGGGCCGGTCGCCGCTTTTCGCCGGGCTGCGCTGCCGCGTCCTGGTGAGCGGCGGTGGCGGGGCTTTCGCC